AGATTGGAAACCTATATCATGCATATATCATTATCACAGACTACATCTGAGATCTCAAAACAGCAAAATAAAAAAAAAAAGGTCATTTTTCTTAAAAAAAAATTTAAAATTACATGTTTGAAAAAGTCTCTACAGGGTTGAAGGAAACGAACAGTTGGGCATAGGCTTTGTTCTCCTGTCAGACATTTCCCAGGAACAAAGGCTTCACAACCTACAGCATTTTTATTTTTTCTGTTATTATATACCAAAATAATAATCAAAAGAAACACTGTATCAGAGAAGCACTTAAATTTGTCATATCCCAGGATGCAGAATATACTACTCCTGCTGCACCTGTTGAAGCAATAAATAAATTAAATGGAAAAATAAGTGATGCCATCACTGAATTCCCTTTAACACTAAGTAGAGAGAGTTCCCCTGACAAATCTTCACCTATTCCATTCACAAAATCACTTGAAGCTTGAGACTGATTATTTCAGCTTTACAGGATTGTGTTCTTGTTTAGCAACTCCATTACTCTCTTAATTACACCTTGCTGTGACTGACAAAGACCTTTTTACTGTAGAGTTTGGGATGTCCAATAGAGACACAGAACAGGAAGGGACTTCTGGAAATCAGGTAGTCATATTCTCCATTCAAAGCAAGGTTAATGTCAAAGTGAAACTGAGCTGCTCGGGACCTTGTCCAATTGAGTTCTCCCTACATCTTACAGAGCTTCAGTTTATCAGAAACCAATTCTCCACAAGTCAGGAAATACAAAGAGAAGGCATCACCACTGCCATTGTAAAATTGCTTTGCTGAAGGTGCCAAAAGCCACCGAATGTTTTCTGGGGTCCAGGCAGAATGCCTGCACTACTTTTAGAGGGTAGAAGGTTGCATGACAGCAAGCTAGTGGAGCTGTGAAACCTGCATGGCCAACATGGCACTGAAAAGGCTGAGTGCGTATGAAAGAACGAGGAAGTAAAAAAGTGTTGGCAAAGATCGTGACAAATAATTCAGACCAATGATTCTGGCTCCGCATCCTTCTCCTATATGGAACTGTCTGCAAGTAAATGGTATATAAGGATGGGTTGACTGATGATGGGATCAAAGAAAGCAGAGCATTTAACAGCACTAAGCAGCTGTAAATTTTGTCAATGTGGCATTGCCATAGAGCAGCCTCGGAATGTGAATGGTCGGTGGGGTGGGTTTTGAGAACTTGCCCAAACACAAGCAATGGCAAAGCAAAGAGGGTTTGGGGATCTCTTACATGCACTTTTTCCTTGAGCAACCTGCTCACTCTGCAAATACCTGATCTTCCTGTGCAATGTCCCAGCAATAGGAAACTTCTTGCAACTTGATTGTAATAAGGACAGAGCTGCAGCTAGGTTCATGCCCGTCTCTGGACTTCATGGTGTTTTTGATTTATCTTGTGATCCCCTTGGATTATCATTCCCATAGGAATAAAAGGAGATGTTCAAATTCTGTGGAAAAGATACCTTATTCCTTCCTTCTGCCTGCTCCCCAGTTCATATGCACAGGGAGAGAGAAGAGGCCACAGAGATCTTCTGCGGGTGCAGGGCTCACTGAAATCTAGCTTACTTGTATATGGGAGAAGAGATAGAGGGGCAAAAGTGCCCTCAGTGTCCCAAAATATGCCTGTTGCCTTTGTTCCACTTGTCATTTCTTTCCATGATACCACTCTGAACCACCACTCTCCCTTCCAGTTTCCACTAGAGTTCTTATACTTCTTTTCCACAACTCAACCTCTCTTTTTCCTCTTCACACGAATCATTAAACCACTCACTTACTCATTTATTTTTACTCTAAAAATACTGCCTGAAAGGTTATATCCTATTCAAATCATGGTTTATATATAAAGGTATTATAAATTTGTATTTTCAATAAAATAAAACCTTATCCCTTCAAATCTGAATCCTAAGGAATATGTATTGTAACTATATTCCTATGGTTCTCTGATTTTTAGCAAAGGCAGAGTCTAAATTCACAACAGCTAGGTGTAAGTCAAATTCTAAACCACTAACATCTTTGGAAACAAGCAGGGAAAACTGTTTTGGAAAAGTATTTTTGCACACAAAAATTTAATTTGCTTGTTGAATAAAATTCCACACTTCACAATGTGTTAAATTCAGCCTCCCCAAATGAGAGGTAGAGTCTAGTCATAAGTAAAGAAAATGCTGAAAAACTGGGATTTGCTGAGAAACTACTAAAAACAATTTCAAAAAATCCATGATGGAATCTGTGTACGACAACAAATGCCACAGGCTCTGTCCACACCCCTGTCTCTGGAGACTATATCTCAGAAATCTCTTGCTCAAATGATCCCAAGTTTTCATCAGTTCATCACTTTGTATATGTATATGGATTTCACAGTAATCCAAAGCAGCACAGAGATTTCAGAGCCCTTATGCTGCAGGCAAACGGACCTGCAGTGTACCCCAGGGTTCTGGTCCCTCTATCATCTGGGGACCTGGCCAGGCACTCCGCAGTGCCCATCTGCTGCACACAGATGGGCTTCCTCGCAAAGGAAACAAAAGCGGGAGGGGGGGAGGCTGCCACACATCCTTGTTGTGCCCTGGTATGCCCTAGACAGACTGTGACCAGGGCACATACTTCTCCTCAGGAACTCAGATGTACTCCCAGGTCCCATACTCCAGAAATTGTCCTAGAAAACTGGGGTATTAAACTCACAGAGCAGGGTTGGTGCTCTGCTTTGCTCTAACACTCATTGAGCCTTTAGCAGAGGAGTGAAAACACAGAAGCATGCTTAATTACTTATTTTTAAACATGCAACAGATATGTAACAATTTGAATGTCTAGACTATAATTTACATAAATACATTGCAAACCAAAACATTTTAAAATTATTTATTTCCTGCTTCTAAAGCTTAAGTGCTTTGCTGGATTACAGCCAGACTGCAGGATCGAGCCAAAGGTGCATAAATCATACCTTCAAAGAAATACAATGTTCACAAAGATTGTATTTGGTTGAGCAAATTTAGAAGAACGAAACCAACTAAGAAGAAAAATTAGATTGGCTGAAAATTAATAAAGCACAGCTGGAATTATTCGATTCATCCGTATTTGTTGCTTAAAATGGCTCTAGGGCTAAGTTTTGCTGAAAGAAGATACTTCAAGACTCAGGGGTCAATTGCTTTTGGAGACAAATTGACCTACAGGAATACACTTGTCTAATTTGGTTCTTGCAGAAGGTTGAGTCTACAGAAACATATAACCAAAAAACCAATTTTGATTCCAGTCAGCAGATATCAGAGGTCAAGTTTAAGGTTCCCATAAATTTACATATACACGCTAAAAAGATTAATAACTTCTCAAGTTACTGAGTTTCCTTGCTAAAAGCAAAGACAGATAAACTACAAGAAAGAAAAAATATATGTGCTTATTCCACATCCTGTTGGCTAGATACCACGCAGCCAGCTCACTGCGCGTTGCTGTGGCTAGATCTGCAATATTTCATACAGTTTGGTCATACTCAGGGAGTGCAAGTAATACTATTGCTGGACCGGCTCCTAGAAGAAAGCATGTTCAGATCTCACAATCATTAATTTTGAAACTAGTTTTATGTGCCAACTCAACTATTTCACTTTTAGTTAAATGGCGTTAATACCATTAGCTATATATCCAGTCATATAGTAACATAGTTTGCAATGGGGCCTTGTGAATACAGTTATCCATTCTAACTATAATGCTTTTCAACTAGACAGATCTTATACATTCATACATCTGTATTATTTCCTATTCAATATTATGAATGTACTTTATAAAATAGCATTAAGATGGATCAGTATTGAGCTATTTAAAAACAAACAAACAAACAAAATCCCCAAAACAAAACACTAAAAATAGAACATTATTTTACATATACATAAGCCTTGAAGCTGGCATTAGCCTTCCAGGAAATCTACAAAACTTATGCCCACAACGTACTTGGGCACATAATGAAAATTTCACTCTCAGGCAATACTAAACTTGAATGATACAGTAATTTTTTTAAAGTTGTCATATTTTAAATTCCATCAGAGCAAAAATAGTATTTTTCCAGTTGGGTAATTTACCAGGGGTGAAAATGAAAAATGAAATTCACTCATTTCACTTTAAATTAGTAGAAATCTGACCACTATATCGCTGATATATGTATAGGAAATAGGTACTGTTGTATGTAGAAAAATGCTTTCAATAAGTTCTGATTTTTTCATGACTGACAGCTCCAGTAGATATTTGTAAATAAATTATTTGCCAACAAATACATAAATCCTGACTGGTGTTACATTCAGAACATTTACGAGGCAGTTAAAAGCCAAGTCTGGTGTTTGGAGTTGGTTTCAAACAGGTAAGTGGTCAGAAGAAAAGAATATACAACTACTTTAACGTTTTTGGTCCTCTTTTCTTAGAGCCACACAAGTTTGGAATATTTTCTACATTTTTTCTCTCAAGTCATGGAACTACTCATATTTCATAAAACCATTAAAAAAAACCATGTTAGGTGGGAGATGCACTGTCCTGTGACTTTCAAACTGAAAAGGCCCCAAAGTGTAAAAATCACACAATCCAAACATAAGGAAGAGACTAATTTTACTCCATGACCCTGTGTGGGGTTTTGTTGTGGGTTGGGGTATTTTTGTTTTCGTTTGGTTGGTTGTTTTTTTTTCAGTAATCCGTTTTTTATTTCTTAAGTGATTAAGGAACTATGTCTCCTCACAAGCCATTAATAAAGAGATCCTATAAGATGGGGTAAACTTCTGTCTACATAAGGAACTTCCTTTAAAAGAAAGATACTCAAAACTCTTGGTAAGTACCTTCGAATGCATCCAGAGCATCAGTAGAGTGAATTTGCCTCAAAGTAGAAACACTGTGCTACTCGTATAACATCACGTAATTTTTATGATGCAGCAAGTTTAGACCCCACATTTCAGTATTATTTTTATGCCCCGAGACTTCTGGTTATCTCGGCTCTACAAATGATGCATTGGTGAGATTACCTGTATAGTCCTCTGAGTGCCATCAATGGTGATAGACAACAAGGGTGAAGCCAGGTTCCACTCGCTGGTCACATTTAGTTTCATCCCATCAACTTCCACCTGTTGTGACACCAAACAAGGCTGTTACTGTGAAGACAGACAGAAAACTGATCTCAAGTTCATTACTGCATACAAAGCAGCAACCATTTTAAAACAGATGGCTCCCAAACAACCTGTCATGTTTACTGCTTCTGCCATAAAAGACAGGGTCCAACAACAGAGTCTTCCACCTATCTCTGGGGAGAGGTGAAGGACCTGTGAACAGCTGCCTCTGAGTAGCAAGGTTTCAAGTGATTTCCAGCAAGTAACAAACAGCCATCCAACTTTTAAACCTATCTGGACATGCTACATTTACTGCAATTAGACAAGTAATGCATATAAATTCCAGTGACACCTTGCAACCCACACAACAGGGCTTGCATATAATATTCTCTCCAAGGACCAAGGAAGAACTTTTCCTATGCTTCTAATGAAGGGCTTTGCATTGTTATCTTAATTAATATGAGGTAGTAATTAATTCTTCAGCATTTTACCTCAAAGTCTAGAAAAACTTTGCAAATTCTGACATGTTTTCTTTCAATATACAGCTGATCAGAGCAATACATTTTCTGACTCGAATGCCAATATGTTTATCCAGAAAGATTTTTTTTTTAATCATCCTATATTCCTTTAAAAAAATATTTCTAGGTGAAGAGTATAAATTCTGGGTTCAGTGTAGACCAGAGTATCTGTAATGACACTTCTGTCATTCTTCTGTTGTATAATACCATTTAAAAACACACATCACATATTCAAGATTATAAGAGCCTCAAAGACATGGAGTACGAAAAAAATTATTATACATGGACTAATAGAATTAGTGATTAATATTTTTTGCATATTTTGAGCACTCATAATGTTATTGAAGGTAAGTAAGTATGATTTCAGTTATATAATTTACTATAAACACAAGAAAAAATCACAGTTGACCAATTTCCTCCCTCTCTCAAAATCTCCGAAGTATTTTTTAATCATACATTACAGACAATAGTGATAATGACACAAATATTGTATACATTCTCAAACTGGAGAAAATTTACTGCATTTAGAATAAAAGCTGAGCCCACATTTTGCAAAATAAAACTTACAATGCCTACTCTTTTAGATCTCAGAATTACTATTTCATCTTATTATAAGAACAGGCATTTTAAAAGAAATCCATAATAGAGAAGTGCAGAGGAGCAGTGTATAATTTGATAATTTTCTTTCTGTTAAGAAGAAAAATGTCTGGCTTAAAAAACCCTCTATTTTTATAGATTTTAGTTCAGAATACAAAGTCTGCCTTAGCAATACAATCTACACAATGTCTATGGGCTTTAACTATAAATAAAGCTACATGTAAAGAACATGAAGAAAAACAAGTCATTTATAAAGGTTCACCAACAGGCCAGATTAGCTGCCATGCTTCAGGTACTTTACACTGCTCCAGTGATGCAAACCAGCCACAAACCTGGCTTGAGTTAAGCCAGGCCTGCAGCTGGTTTGCATTTGCAGAGCACTGCAAAGCAGCTGGAACATGCTAGTGAACCTAGCTCGCTCTCAGCATACCTGAATCAGCAAGTACTGTCTTTATTGAGTACAGGAGAAACATCAGAAAAACTCTCCAAATGGAGAAAAGCAAACCCAGCACTCTGTCTCAACCCCCTCTGATTACCAATTGAACTTTGCTAAGGCAATTACTTAAAAAGCTGTCTGTCTCTTTCTCTAAAACCAAAGAAAGACTTTTCTGCACTCGAGTCTGGGTCTGAAAACATCATTTACCATGCGTCTCCAGGGAGGGAGGTGAGATGGTTCAAAAGCAGACCAGGCTACTGGTCACCAAAAAAACCTTCACCTGTGCACCGTACTGCTCGTTGCACTGTAGGATTTACATGCAGCCTTGCAGAAAATCTATAGCCAGTATCTATAGTTCGTTCTAGCAAAGGGTGTCCCAGGGACAAGATGCAAGTCAATATCTCCACAACAAACCCAAGTTTAATCATTAGCTCTTTTCTCACTGTACAGATGAGCAAAAGAGAAGTAAACCAAGTGTGTCACAGTGGTAAATGACCTGTTCAAAATCCCTCACAAGGGTCTATAAAAGTCTAGCCATCATTGATTCCAGATTACATTAGTATGAAAACATCTCTGGTGGAAACCACCCTGGAAGAAGAGACAGCAAGCAGATGCTAGGTTTCCCCATTCAAGAAAGAATAAAGAGTCAGGGGAAGGGTTATGTGAACTAATGCATATCCCATAAATTGCAGTTTCTTCTCACAGAACGAAGCTGCAAGCTTTTAGCTGTTTTCACTTCCAGCTCAGTGTGGTACATGCAGCTGGAGAAGATGATCTGAAGCCAAGAGAATCCCAAGGAAATTTGGCTATCTGTGATCCAGTAAGTAGGATGATAAAGAGAGGAGGTCAGGATATCATAAAAAAATTAACGAGGACTGAGGGTAAAAAATTCATGATGTAGCGAGTATGTTACTTTTTACTAAAAATGAGGGAAAAGGGGGAGGAAGGGGGAAGATGGGACATGGTGGACCACAAACCAGGTGGGGTTTGAAATCAAACCAATACCTTACCTAATAGAGTAAACCTTCTTTCTGCAGCTCAGCAGCCAACAGCCTAGCCAGTTTAGTGGGCAGAAGCATGGGAAGAGATAAGACAGTCAAGGAACTTGTCAGAAGTTTGCATTTGCCTTCATTCATCCTCTAGCAATGGATATAATAATGGAACCTAACAAATACTGCAATAAAACCAGGGTCTTTTTGCTTTAGGCTTGGGAGTGGACAGGGGGCATCAGGGTGCAGGGTGTGAAGAGGGACGTGGGGATTAACTACTGAAGTTACATTGACTACTTCCTGTTTTATTTTGTTTCTGTGCTCCAAAGACAGCCAAGAACAAATCATCACTGAATGGATGGTAACACTTGAACTGCAGGAAAAAGATCCCAGTCAATTCACTCCTGCAGTGGGAGTTACATTTTGCTTTACACCACAGCTATATACTCTAGCTTTATCCTCAACTACTCAGCTCCAAGAATACATGCATGTGTGTGTGTGTAGGCACGCGTATCTGCATCTACAGTAACTGTGGTTGTTACAATACATCCACGTGGTGTAGTGGGAGTGGATTGTTCCATTTTTAAAAAGGTTTGTTTGTCCCTATATAAGGGCATAAAAGATAAAAGCAGCCACAGTCCTTTCCAATTATTTCCAATTCAAAAGCTATTGTAAATGAGGTCTCAGAAAGAAGAATGACAAGTCCAAGACACGATGCTAGAAAAAGGTCAATAGCTTACTCCACTGTCACAACTTTGCAGACTTTCACTGGCATGCACCTGCACTACACAAGTAGCAGCCCCTTCACCTCTTGTGGACTGAGTTCCTGATGTTCAGCGTGATAAGTACCAGCTAACCAATAGTGCAAAGAGCTGCAAAGCATAATCTGCATTCAGTTTCCTTTAGAGAAGAACATTTGGCATTCTATATGCATGTCAGGCAATTAAAAAAGGCAGCACAAGCCTGAGTGTTATAGCCCTGTTAATTTACTAATGCAGAGTCTCGAGTACATCTGGCACATGTCACTTCTTTTCTCCTGGAAATGAAGGTAGTTTTCCAGGAGATTGGAGGGCAGCTCAAGCATTTGTTTCCTGCCTGATCCTTCAAAACATTATGCCTGAAGTTCCTCATGCCAACCTTCAGTCTGACTAACCTAAGTCTGCTGATTTAATCCCATGGTTCCAGTTCTGCCTCCCAACGTGTTTAACTCAAGAGTCTTGGCGCTAACTACTTGGTATGCTACCCCTAGCCATATTCCATATACCCTTTCATTCTGCCTCTTGCTATAGCAAAAGTGATGGCATTTCCTATCAGATCTACCAAATGAGATGTCATCCTCTGCAGACCTGCCTTGCTGAAATCTTTCTCTGATCAAAACAGCTGCCCATGAAGATGTACCTTTCAGGAAAACAGACATTACTCTTCACGGGAGATTAATGAATATTCACAGTCATAGCCTCCAATCCCTTCAACTGGCATTAATTTAGCTGGAAATCTAAGGCACATCCAGTGGGCAGCAAAGGCACTATGAAGTGAAACATTTGTTTCATTCCTGTAAGGAAGGAACAAAACTAGCAAGCATCACTATTGTAAATGTGAGATAGCTTACATGGTTGAGGACTTTATTCAAACCTACATAAAGATGTCCTCTTCTCTGGAAAAAGTAACTGCCTTGGGCGCTGAAGATCCTTTACTTTCATTATTGCTAAACGCATGCCAAAAATAGCAAGGAGATTCTTTACATTTTTGTAAGTCAGGTAAAGGATAGGTATTGCTTCCTGTGCAGAAGAGGAGGTGGTCAGAGGACTTGTAGCACAGTGTGGCAATAGAAGGTCCGGCTGTAGGCAACAATATTCAGTACATTCAGTAACAGTCTGCAGTGACCTCAGGCTAAGCAAAACTGAGTTGAACAAGGCAGCTTTTGGTTTCCAGTTTTCACAAAATTCATTAAATTCTCAACTAATTTACTGTCCAGCTAACAGAGAAGCACATGGAATGGAACAGCAAAGGCACGTGAAAACTATCCTATGCCAAAGCTATAGTCCTTCACCTTTTGTAGTCCCACACAGTCTTCGGAATGTGATGAAAATCTTTATGGGGCTGATGAGTATAAGACTTCCTTTAGAAGCATAATGCATGAAGGCATTTTGTGAAATAGTTTGCTAGTCCTCAATGTAAAAAATCTTTCCCAGTCAGCAGGAGAGTTCAAACACTATTTTGCGTCTCTCTCTATATTTCCAAAGCCCATAATCACAACACACTCCCTTATCATGAAAATTAATGGCTACCTGGAGCCTGTAAAGACTCATGGAAATTTGCAGTTGTCCTGCCAACTATTGGGTCTTCTTACACAATTTGGTCCAACTTCTTCACATTGTCTTTAAGAACCTTGAATAAAAACAGAGTCACATCTGCCACATTAGGCAATAGGAACAACCAAATAGTACTTCACATGTTGCTATTCATAAATGCAAATGC